ATCCCCATGGGGTCTCTCTCCATCACTGCAGGGTCATTTAAACACCAGCATCTTCATTTTCTTGTCTACCTGAAGGGCTGGCAGTGCCGTGACCTGATGGGACACCTTCCATGGGACACAGTCCTGTCACAAAGGTGCCGGTTTGCTGTGCTGCCGAGGGGTTAGCGGCACCCAGGCGTGGGCTTCTCTGGTGGGCAGAGATCCTGTGTGTGTGTGTGTGTGTGTAGCCAAAATGGTTTTATCAGCCAGGCCCAAAGGGTGGGATTATCACTGCATGGAGCTGTAGTGAGTGATTTAATACTGTACTGTTATTAAAAGCCATAGTAGGAATTTGGCTGTGACCTAAGAAAAAGAAACCAACTCCAGTTCCTCTAGTCAACATCAGTATAAACGTAAGATTCCTGAACTGAAGCCATTGACTAACCCTGGATATGATGTGCCAGCAAACCTGGAAAGAATTCAGGTTTTATGGGTTGCTATTTTCGTGTACTATGGAGAGGTGCTTGTCATGTTTATCTACATGGCACCACAGACCTGCCGCTGGGCAGAGCCCTGCCATCCAGAGCACCGACCGTGTGCCATCACAGCAGAAAGCCATCACACCACCCCGCTGAGGTGCTCCATGATGGAGGGAGGGAGAGTTTGCAACATCGTGCATGGAATGAATAACTTCATGGGCTTCTCAGGTAAATGGGAATTGAATAGATGTCCTTGGAAGAGCATGTAAAGAGCGTGGCAATGGATGCCGAGAGGCCAGGCTGCACCTTGTGTCAACCAGCTCCATCGCCTGGTCCTTCCTTCCCATCACCTTCAGACCTGAGGCTCTTTGGCACATTCCTTCAAAGGCATTGGAAGAAGAAATGTAGGAAGAAAGAAAGCAGAGGACCAACTTGGGCAAGCGGCTGTTTCGTGTGCAGAGTTATTTACTCTACAAATCATCTGAACTATGAGCAGACTTTGTAAAACATAATAAGCAATAATAATAAGGGCTCTGGGGGGACAGGCGAGCTGCAGCCATGCCAGGGTGGGCTGATGCAGAGCAGAACAGCAGCAGCTCTCCAGTCCACCCAAACCCCTGAGGGAGTCCAGAGAAGTTCCCAGCCTGCTTCCCAAGAAGTTGGCCTATCAAATGAGCAACTTGGAGCTGACGGAGCTGTGACAGTTTATGGAGGCTCAGAGCCTGCTGCCATGTGTTTTAATAAATGGGTTCACACCAGCTGTCTGTGCAAATAAAACATTAGCATGTGTCAGACACTATCCACCCAGGCATCTGCCGGAGCTTAGGGGACATTTTGCAGGAGAGCCATGCCATGCCAGCGGGACCACACACTGCTCGATCTCCTGCGTTGCAGGGTGGCCTGGCCCACACCCAGGCTCCCCTCGCTCACGTGCCCAATCCAGGCTCAGTTAAAATCCTGAGATTTTAGGTCAAGAAGTTCCCTTGACTCTGTGTGCTGGGATTGATGGTGCACTGGGACTGCAGGTATTTCTTTCAACTTCCCCTCTTTCCCCAGGTCCACTAAGGACCTGTCCAGAAAAGAGGTACAAGGGTAAGAAAGTGAGAAGCGCTAAAGGAAAACTCATTTGTGCAGCCGTCTGGCCCTTAAAATTAAGAACTTTTTGAAAGACAGGGCTGAGAGCGTATGGTGCTAGTGGCATGCGGGGCAGCACCGGGTGGGACGGGACACTCAGCAGGGTCCTGCTTCGGGGGAGCTGGCCCCAGGGCCAACAGCGAGGCTGTGAAGTAGCCAAACCCACAGGGCCCAACCCCCAAGTGAACAGAGGAAACATTTCATTCTGCCTCGGAGCTCTTTTATCTGTTGCTGCCACTATGAGTAGCTTTTAAAACCTCCTCCAGCTGCAGCGGCACGAAAACATGAATTTACTTGTATCCGGATGGCTTTAAGAGGTGTTTAATTTATGTGGAAAAAAACCCTAAAATTGGCTGCAGTGTGCATTACAGGATGTCTGCCAGTTAAAGTGTTAACTAGACCTAAATAATGTGGCTGTAACGGAATTATTCCTGCTACCAGATCCCATGCTGATGCCAATATTCAAACCAGGCATCCCTGACTGACAGAAGTAACAGGCAAGCTTGGCAATGAAGAACATAGAATAAACCAGATTCACAGGCTGATTTAAGCAACTGCAAGGCTAGCGATAAACCGTGCAGGGAAATAGTGCTGTTCTCAAGAATTAAGTATCAGAGGCCACGCAGAGCTCATGCCTCAATGGCACGAGGCGAGATGCGCAGAGCCCGGCTGTACCGACGGTGGTGACACCCAGCAGAACATCTCGCTTACTGCTCTTCCTGATCAGCATTGCGTGCTCCACTGAGCAATCTGTAATTACCAGAAGAATACCAGTAATTACTTCTTACAGTTGTTGCGGAGCTTAAGTGGTATGAGTTAAGTAATACAAGCAAGAATCAAATGCGCTGAGTGTTGAATACTTGCTTTTTTTTCTAAGGAAACCTGACTGTTGACACACAGTCCAGTTTCACTCAGAAATGTCCATTAAACCTTAAATATTCAAAGCAAATTGTGAGGGGCTTCTGCAAAAAGCGGGATGCTAAAGTCAAATATTCATCCTGGGAAGCTTGTTCTGGTCCAGAGAGGAATGTTCTCCCGCACTGATCCAAGCAGAACCATAGCTCACGCTGGGCTCTTCATCTATAAATGGTTACAATTGCTCTGTTCTGGGACTGGCTTTCAATCAGTCAACAAATAAAACCTCTTGGAGAACTAATGGCTTCCCAAAAAAAAAATCCCGATTTGCTTTAGAGAGTTTGCCAAACAGGAAGAGGAGTGAAATATGTCGAGTGATTTATTACAAGTGATTTGCCAGCTCGAGCAAGTGTATCATTGCTCTGCTCAGTTTAATGACAGAAAATGAAGGCAAAGAGATGCAAAGACCTGCCCCAAAGCACCTTGAACCCACTGTGGAAGACCAGGGCGCCAGATTTCCAGCTGGCAAGACCTCTGCACGTCACCCTCCGCGTTACCACTGCCCTTTCCTTCACGGGTCTTCCATTATTCGTCTTTTTTTAAACCTCTGCACAGCTTACGACGTGCGAATGCCCTCACACACGCTGTGCAGTGGTTTCCATTAACGCACTTCAAACCTGACTTGCAGCTGCTTTGCTTATTCACTCCGGAGCCTTGGCCGGCCCAGGGCCCGGCAGCACGTTGTGTGCTGCTTCCCTGTGCTCGGAGGAACGGAGCAGAGCCATTAAACAACCTTCCTATCTTAGCAAATCTACTGTTGTAGCCAGATTCCCTGAGAAGGAACAGTATGGTGGCTTTTGGGTTGTGGTTTTTTTGGTTTTTTTCCACCCAACAGCTGCCTCCTTTTTACTTTTAAATTAATTCACAACTGAAATAAAAAAAAATTACACAAGGAAAATCCCCCGGGTGAACTTACTGTGCCTTCATGTCTGCCTACTTCTTACTTGTTTTAAAATTAATTCACACTGAAAAAAAAAAAAATTTACACAAGGAAAATCCCCCGGGTGAACTTACTGTGCCTTCATGTCTACCTACTTCTTACTTGGGTACCAGGGTAAGGTATAGTCTGAATAATAGCCCGACTGAAATATGCTGAGAATTGTTTAAACTGTAATCTCCAAAGGCATGCCTAGGAAATAATCCTCCCTTTTTAGCCCTATCATGGTAACAATGAGCATCAGTTTAATCCTAAAAGGAAGCTGACTGGAAAGAATGCATTTCAGCCACATTGGTCTCGAATCAGATGGCTCATGTCTCCTTAGAGGGTAGAGAATTTGGGTTAGGTACACTGGGCTGCCACCGACAAAATCTACAAAGCACCCACAGGAGAAATACAGCCCCCACAATCTCAAGATGAAAGTTAGGACAAAATGCAGAGGGAATCCAGCGCTTCTGTGCGGGGTGGATTTTTGTTTACTGGAGCAGTCTAGGGGGAAACCTGGAGAGACATATCTGAACATCTAGAGGCTCTGGGCTTCAACCTAACCGCATGTACCCTCGCCTGCTCTCAGTGGGAGAAATTATTCTGATTTGTTTCCATTTAAGTTCCCTCCCTTTAGCTGTGGGAACAGCTCAAAGGCTTTAGTACACATGCACTTTTAAATTCTAGTTGGTCGCTGATTAAACCCACCTGAAATTCATGTTCAAAATAAAAGATTGAGAAGCTATCACACGCGAGCCTGGCAGCAAAGGGACTGTGGAGATTTGTGCCTTGCTCTTTCTGTCTCTCCTCCCATGTCTCGTACATTTTTCAAGGCTAATGCTCCAGTAAACAAATGCCTCAACCCCTCAGAGCACTGGAGCACAGCAAGTGTTGATGCTGAAATCCCTTCCACGCATGGGCGTATTAGACTAAGCAGTATGTGGAGACCAGCAAAGCCGTTCTCAAGTCAGTACTTAAATCAGTTATGGATTTCCCCACAACAGCAAAGATACCAGCCTCCGGCGTTGAAGATGCGGTTTCTTTTCAGATGTCTGTGCTGCACCTTGTTCCCAAAACTTTCTGAAATTAGGATCTGTCACTACACAGAGGCTCTGGATCAACGCAAGAATCTGGGAGAGGGCGAGAGGTGGTTTTATTTCCCTCGATCTTGCTGGCCGCTTTCCAGCAGAAGGGCAGGAGATGCAGAAGGTGCAGAGGAAGGGTGGAGATCTGTGGGGTTTCTGGCGATCAACCGCCCCATTTGGGGAGGACCCGAGCATCCCCGGTTCGAGCGGCTGCACGGCGGAGCGGGGCCCGGCTGCTCCGGGCTCTGCGGCTCCCGGGGCTCCCGGTCCGGGACGGGG